TTGATGAGAAGTCTATGTTTAACCCCATGTTGAAGGTTACTGTTGCTGAAGGTAGCAGGAATGTTGATAAGCAGGTGGAGCTGCAAACTCTCAATGAGAGTGAGTTTGAGCACCAAGGTGGAGAAGATCAACATGATGAGGATGTCTCTGCAGAGCCAGAAACTTCAGAGTCCAGTGCACGAGCTCAACAGTCTATTGCCTCCGGTAGACCGAAGAGAGCGACTGCAGGAGTACCTCCACAGAGGTATGGTTTCGAGGACATGGTGGCGTATTCATTTCAGGTTGCTGAGGAAGTGGATGCAGGAGAGCCACATTCCTATAGAGAAGCAGTTTCGGGTGGTGAAGCTGATCTTTGGCTTGCCGCAATGGGAGATGAGATGGAATCCCATGACAGGAATCAGACTTGGGAGCTAGTCAAACGACCACAGGGAAGGAAGATTGTTACAAACAAGTGGATCTACAAGAAGAAGGAATGAATCACTTCTAAAGAGGGCATGAAATTTAAAACTCGGGTGGTTGCACGAGGCTTCTCGCAGAGGATGGTTCGATGATATATCTAGTTCTGTATGTGGATGATATGCTCATAGTTGCGAGGTCAAAGTCTGATATCCAGAAGTTAAATGGGCTTTTCAGTTCTGAGTTTGAGATGAAGGATTTGGGAGCTGCTCAGAAGATCTTGGGTATGGAGATTTACAGGGACAGGTCGAAGAAGAAGCTTTTCTTGTCACAGAAGAGCTACATCCAGAAGATACTGTCGAGGTTTGGCATGTCTTCAGCAAAGCCCTTAAATACTCCTAGTGCTTCAAATGTTCATCTATCCTCAGCTTATGCACCGCAGTCAGAGGCTGAGAAGGAGTACATGTCGAGAGTCCCATATGCTAGTGCAGTAGGTAGCTTGATGTACGCTATGGTATGCACTAGACCTGATCTTGCACATGCTGTTAGTGTTGTCAGCAGGTTTATGATACAACCTGGGAAGGAGCATTGGCAGGCTGTGAAGAGGATCTTCCGGTACCTTAAGGGTACACCTGATGTAGGGATTAGCTTCGGAAGTGATGCAGAGTGCTTGGTGTCTGGGTATTCTGACTAGGACTATGCTGGAGATGTTGACACGAGGAGATCGATGACCGGTTATGTATTCACTCTTGGGAGTTCTGTAGTGAGCTGGAAGGCAACTTTGCAGTCGGCGGTGACATTGTCTACTACTGAGGCAGAGTATATGGCGTTGACAGAAGCTGCTAAGGAGGGAATATGGTTGAAGGGACTGGTTGGTGATCTGGGTCTACATCATGATCAGGCAGTGGTGTATTGCGACAGTCTGAGTGCAATATGCTTGGCCAAGGATCAAGTCCACCATGAGAGGACTAAGCACATCGACGTGAGGTATCATTTCTTGAGGACAGAGAAGAGGATTAAGGTGAAGAAGGTTGCCACCGCGGATAATCCTGCTGATATGTTCACGAAGCCGGTTCCACATGGCAAGTTCCAACACTGCTTGGACTTGCTGAATGTCTTGAGTGGGTGACTCCGCCCTACGGGGCATTGGTGGCGGGAGAGAGAGAAGAAGCAGAGTACATCAGAGATTTCAGAGGAAGAGGATTCAAGTCAAGGTGGAGATTTGTTGATATGACTTGAATCGGACTATCAGCCGCTACGACCCATATGGAGAAGTACTATAAATACTTCTCATACTCCTCTGTAATCTGTAATCTCCTCGATATAGTGAAACTGGCTCTCTCTCGCCCGTGGACTAGCTAACACACATCGTGTTAGTGAACCACGTAAATCGTGTGTCTGTGTTTTTCGATTCTCGCTTTCGTATTCTTGCTTTGTCGATTCCGGCGATTTCCCGATCCGTAGCAGCGCGTTTATGACAAGTGGTATCAGAGCCTGGTTCGGGTCCAGGGCGGTGGATGTCAGTTTGGTGGACCCTCATTTGATGACCTCAGGATTTGAGATCGGCGTCTGGTTGGTGGATCCAGGAGAGATCCACGTCTGTTTGGCAGATCAAGGGAGATCTGCGTCTGGGCTGTTTGGTGGATCCAGGAGAGATCCACGTTTGGTTTGGTGGATCGAGGGAGGTCCGCGTTTGTCTGGTGGAGAGATCCACGTTTGTTTGGCGGATCAAAGAGAGTTTCGCATCTGGGAAAATCCTTGTACCGAGAAGCCCATCGATACAAGGTGTCTAGCAGATCAAGATAATCGCTGAGGTGAGGACACGATGTTCGTGGTCCTTGTCTTGAGGGGAGGATTGTTATGGGACAATCCAAGTACCACATCGGTTGTACAAGGAAAGGAATCCTTGTATATAAGTGTCCACCAAACTCGTTAGTACGAGGCCTTTTGGGGAGGATACCCAAGAGTAAAACCGTGCGGGCTTGACCCAAAGCGGACAGTATCGTACTAATTGAGCGGCCCGATTTGACAGTATCACTCGGAAATAAATAAAAAAACTATGCTTGTTAGTGCATAGAATCGTTTTTATGTTGTTGTTTTAATTTCCTTTGAAGTTTTCAGCATCCACAAAATGCATTAAAATCCCACTTGGCCACTTGGATCATAGTTCGGGTGTTCTACTCGTTTTTTTTTGGTGTTGCAAGCAGTGGTACAAGAAACGCTATGGAAGAGGGGTGAATGATGGAAACAAAGTGATTTTTAATTTTTAATTTTAATATTGGTTATTTTCTTGAGTGATGAAAAAGATCAAAATTGGTTTTATAATTCCACGTCATACACTACATCAGCAGTGACTTGTCATTTTGTTAAATACTAAAATGGTCAACGCCGTCAACTCTAATGAAAAATAGTCCAATACATAAACGGAATATTGGAAAGAATAGGACACAAGTAACATTTGAGTCATAGTTAAAAGTATTTTAGTGAAATTGGCCCTTAATTTTACCCGATGCAATTGTTCAATTCAACAAAATTTATCACAAGTTATTTGTTGTAATTTTTCTTTTCAATTTAACATATTAATTCATTCGAATCGCAACCTTTTTCTACTTGTATTCACTAAATTTTAAAAAAGAATAATGAACGTGATACGTATATGAAGAAATTCTAACGTAATCGATAACTGTGATATAAATCTTGAATAAAAACAAGACAAAAAAAATCAAGAATTTGGACTTTGAATAATTAATAAACTCATAAAAGAAAGTATGGGTCTTTTTTATTATGGCTAGTGGCTACTATTTGCTAGCATTATGATGCACACCCCCTAATAAAAAAAAAGGCATTCAAATTTTCTAAAATTCCCAAAATTTGACCGTTGAATATTAGATTACGCGAAGAATGAAATGATGCAAATTTAATTTGAGTGGAATGTTGAACAAAAAGTCAACCCAACCCAATTGAGTAATTGACTTGTATACTGAATGACCAAAGCAAAGCAAAGTGTGATGATTTGCACGTGCGGGTTTTGCTTTCCTTTGCTTTGCCCTTGCCCATCATAATATATCATGACCTCATGTGGGTAAACTAAAGTAAACAAAATTATTTTCCACAAATGATAATTACAAAACAAAGACCATTATTCCCTTGCCCACTGTATTTATAATTAAAGGAATATATATAATTAGATATGATGATTAGCAAAATCTCGACATATATTTTGACTCATTGCACTCCAACGAATCATCATATTCTTCATCATCATTCATGGCCGACGTGGGTGTGTGCATGCCAGCCCAGCCCATTAATACAGGCCCATTCCTCACCAACTTGTTTTTTTTTCTTATGATCTTATCCATCCCTCACAAACCTCATTTCATTGCCAAATGCCCAAATCCTAAAACATTTGTAATTTTGATTCGTCCGATTAGGTTAATTTCATTCCATCATCATTAATAAATTAATGCGTCTTAGGTCAAATATGGATGCATTTCACTTTCTTTTCAACGGACCAATGTAGGATCGAGCAATCTTGTGGATCATAAAAGACTATTTCATAGTTTGGATTTGGATTATCGAAGAGAAAGAGGTATATGTATGCCGCAGATCACGTAATACAAGGATGTTTAGAGTCATACATGGTGACCTTTACCATGAAGTTAAGGGCCCATTGGATGGTGTTTACGATGGAGACGCGTATAAGATAAAAAAATCATACCAAAAAGAGTTATTTACCATAACAGTATAAGAAATCATAATAAGACAAATAGTACTTAAATAACTCAAAGAGTTATAGTCGATAATGATTAGTGGTTGAATCACATAAAAACCCAAAACTATAAGCAAATCTCAGGTATTGTGGCGGTAAAACTTGAACTAAAACTAGTTGAACGTTTTATTGGACTACAATCCAATTATTGTCACACACGTACAAAGTAAAATAACATTGCCTAAATCTATGGAACACATTAAGATATGCATAACATTGTCTAATTTGGTTGATCGCTTTTTCGTTTGGTTGGATGATTATGCGTAAGTTCCATTGAATCGAAGGGGTATGTATCCCACGAAACGAGTATGTCCCTAACGTAACCTTATGAGTTTACGCATCTCATTTGGTTGTTGTCGTTGTTATGATAATTCTTTCCGCTTATGGAGTCTTCAAATTTTCCATCCAAGTTATCCATCAAAATACTTGATTAAGCTCTATATCATTAACAATTAACTTGTTTACATAAGCGAAAGTGATCTACCCGTGAGTCGGTGACCAACCTGTTTAATAATTTGGTCAATCTAATATACCTTGTGATCAACCAGATTAACAATGTAATTGACTTGGCCTGTCTTATATCGATCAAAAGCTTCCACTATACTTCAAATAAAATTACTTGGAATTTACTCCATGCAGATTATGGTAACAAACTTCTATAGTAAGTTGCAATCTTTTTAAGTGCCCAACTCAATCTGAGCTTACTTTTATGAGTTTGTCCATCTATTTTTGCGAAACAAATGACCAAATCTCAAGCAAATGGAAGATAGCGGGGGCTGAATTGGATGAAACAAAGTTATTGGCTTTGACCCAAAAAGTGAAACTAGGCAAATATAAACGTTAAGCAAACATTATTGTTAATGGAGGAGCCTCAGAAACGTGTATACTTTTATCATATCAAATGGTTGAAAACTGCAGATTTTCAAAGGAAAGAAAGAAAGATAAGAATGGATCCAATTGCTGTCTCTGTTCTGTTGTCGTCTCCTGCCTTTTACGACTCTCAATAAACCACCCACCTTCTCTCTCTACTCTCTCTCAACCCACCACACCACGACCCAAACAAACAAATACAAAACCAAAGACCCAAAGGTCAAAATCAAATCCATCTCTGACTCTCTTAATTCCATTCAATGGCGGCCAAGCTTAACTCCATAACCATAAGCCACGAGACTAGTACAACTTCAGAAATCTCAAACCGCCACCTTCTTAGCTTCTTCTTCTTCGTCTTCCTCCTCCATCCTTGACAAACCTTCCCCTTCTTTTGCTGTGCTTGGGTTGGCCTCTCTTTTATCACAAAGCTCACATTTTTATGCTCATTTTGGCCAAGTTACTATAAACCCATAACTCCTCAGCTTCTCCTCTCTCTCTCTCCTTCTTTGGGTTCTGTGTTTGTGCCCATTTCGACTTTTTTGCGCAAGAACCCATTAGTTAGTCCATTACCCTCCATCCATTATCTCTCACATTTCAAGAAAGACACAGATCAATATTATTTACAAGGATTGGAGAGAAAGCAGCTTGACTCCCTACCAAAAAGCACTTTGAGATCTGTTCCTTTTCTTTTCTTGGTCTTCGCCCTCCATCCACCCTCTCTCTGTTTTCCCCTTTCTTTCTTGCTCTCTTGAATCTTTTGTCCAAGTTGGTTGTTAAAATTCAGGGGTTTTACTGGGTATCCCTTCTGCGGCTCTTGAATCTCTGAAAGGACGAATCTTTGTTACTACAAAGTAGAAAAATACGAAATGGGGAGTAGTAAATGGAGAAAAGCAAAGCTGGCCTTGGGTCTGAATCTCTGTGTTTTTGTGCCAAGAACGCTGGATGATTTGCCAGCAACAACTTCAACTGAGAGGGTATCAGATGTTGCTCTGCTTTCACCTACAAGTTGGGATGCTAGGCCAATGACTCCAGTTCCATCCTCCCATGGTTTGAAGCTGCCCAGAACTGGTAGCAAATCTTCCAAGGTAAAAGAAAAAAACTTTTACCCTTTCTCTGCCTTCCTTCTGTGCATATTTACTGGTTTTTGCTCTTTGTCTCTCTGCTGCTGAGACTTGGTGCAGCTGCATGTTTGTTTCAAGTGTTTGTTTGGGTCTTAATAAGACTTGTTTGATTGGTTGATGAGGGAAAAAAGATAATTGTAGATATTTTCCAGGTTCAGGAGGCTCCAAGTTCCATCATTTCCAAATTTTTTTACTTATCTGGTAGAACGAATTTGACTCTGTAATAAGGAATGCTCTGTGCTCTGGTGATACCCAGTAATTCACAGTGGCCTCTATGCTGTAAATTTTGGTGATTGATTGCATAAAGCATCTTCCTTTTACTGGGTTTGTGCTTGGCAAAATGAGGATCCACTTGTATAAGCATTATTCTGTAATTATTTTCTCCCCAAACATCATTTTCACATGGCCCAAAAGTTCCCACTAAAAAAAGCATTGGTTCACTTGCATTTATTTTTCCTATGATGATATAGACAGGAGTAAGGGCAGGATTATGCGCAATTTGGTGTGGTGTTAGGTCCCAATTGCTAAAGAGGCAATGAATGAATGCCCTTTCTGCAACATGAAGTGGATTTGAGTTCATCTGATCTTATTTAGTGGAGATATGTTTTGCTCTTCTTAGTCTCCCTCCCTGGAAAATAAAGGGGAAACTGTAGAAAGGAAAAAAAAGTCATTGAAAATAAGCTTGTTAATCCATTTTTGGTAGTTTTAAGGGATGACTGACTGAGAAATTATTGGTTTTACTTGGCTATGGCCTAGGGTGATGTCATTATCTCTTTGAGCAAGTGACCTAGGCCCCTTTCTGTGCCATTTTCATTTGCCCCAACTGTTACAAGGAAGCTACAGGGAAATTAATGTTTCTTTCACTCCTTACCTTGAAAGCAAAGTGGGTAAAAGAGAAAAGCAGAATGAGATGGTGGCTTGAACTGTTTTGGGTGTTTGGTTGGCAAGCCCCTGTAGTTGTAGGTATGGAAATTCATCAAACAAGCAAAAGAAAAGACGAGGGAAAAGAAAGCACATCTTAATTCTTTAAGCAACTCATAATTTCTCTTTCTTTGGTGGATGATGGGTTGGCCATTCAATTGCTCCTGTTTTCCTTTTTCTACGGTTCATCTGTATCTTGAAACAGTCCACTGGTGACCTTTTAGAAAGTCATTTTGATAGTTAGTTAAGCTTGGCATTTCTCTTGTTGACTTGAGCCCATTTTTCTAGTTCTGATTATGTATTCGTTACAGTTGTTCATGTTGGCTCGCATATTAGCTGGTCTTTAGACATGAAATCTGTGCATTTATAAGCAAGCTGTCTCTGTTTACCTTCTCCCACAATATTTGTTTTCGTACCTTGAATGTTACTGGATTAGATGGAAAGTACTCATCAAAGTATTAAATTCTATGGCTATCTGAATTCATAAAGCTTTGATAAACACTTTTTAGAACGAGTTAATGAGCGATTCCATGATTCTTTACTTTTTTCTACGCTGTTGAATCCCATACTGGTTTGGGGTTTATTCACATTCCATAATGCATCCAACTTATTTTGTGCTTTGTCCTGTCTCAATGATTACAGCAAACCTGCTCAATCTGCCTGACCAAGATGAAACAAGGAGCTGGCCATGCAATTTTCACAGCGGAGTGCTCACATTCGTTCCATTTCAATTGCATTGCTTCTAATGTGAAGCATGGCAATCAAATTTGTCCAGTCTGCAGAGCAAAATGGAAAGAGATCCCCTTTCAGGCTCCAGATTTAGATCCTCCGCTTGGGAGAGCTGTCTCAATCAACGCTGGAGGCTGGCCTAACAATGATGCTTTAATGACTGTGGTTCGTCGTTTACCGCCCCCTCGTCGGGACCCGAGTAGGAGGCACGTTGTACCATTACTTCAGGTTGCCGAGCCTATTGTATTTAACGATGATGAAACTTTGGACATCCAGCCAGGATATGAAAATGGGGCCAGTTGCAGTTCTGGTAGAGCAATTGACATCACTGTGCATCCTGAAGTTACAGCAGCATCACGTTCAAATTCTTATGAGAACTTCGCTGTCCTTATCAATCTTAAAGCTGCTGCTGCTAGCATGATAAGAAACCAGACCAGCAGCTATCCTCAACTCTCCCAAACTCCTAGAGCTCCAGTTGACTTGGTGACAGTTCTCGACATCAGTGGTAGCATGGCAGGAACTAAGCTGGCATTGCTTAAACGAGCTATGGGATTCGTGATACAGAACCTTGGCTCCAACGACCGGCTCTCTGTTATTGCCTTCTCATCCACAGCTCGGCGCCTCTTCCCCCTGAGGCGAATGTCTTATGCAGGGCGCCAGCAGGCGCTTCAAGATGTTAACTCTTTGATTGCCAATGGTGGGACCAATATAGCTGAAGGCCTTAGAAAGGGAGCTAAGGTGATGGAAGAGAGGAAAGAAAAGAATCCAGTTGCAAGCATAATATTGCTGTCCGATGGACAGGATACTTATACAGTTAGTAGCGGTAGTAACCAGCAGCCTGAACAACCGAATTACAGGTTGCTACTTCCTCTTTCTGCTATTGATGGTGGTGGTGGGACAGCTGGATTGAAGATTCCAGTGCATGTGTTTGGATTTGGGGCGGATCATGATGCTTCATCGATGCATTCAATTTCAGAAATTTCGGGTGGTACATTTTCTTTTATCGAGACAGAAGCCATTATCCAGGATGCATTTGCACAGTGCATTGGAGGGCTCTTGAGTGTTGTGGTGCAGGAGCTGCAAGTGGGTGTTGAATGTGCGAACCCTAACATCAAACTCCAGTCGTTGAAAGCAGGAAGTTACTCGAGTCGGATATCAGCCGATGGACGCACGGGGTTCATTGATGTTGGAGATTTGTATGCAGATGAAGAGAGGAATTTTCTCGTTTCACTCAATGTTCCACCAGCAGAACCTTCAAAAGGTTCAACATCATTGCTCAAGGTGAAATGCGTCTTCAAGGACCCGTTAACTAAAGAAATGGGCACATTAGAAAGTGAAGAAATAAGGCTTCAGAGACCTGAAGTAGCTGAAGAAGTAGTTGTGTCAGTAGAAGTGGACAGGCAGCGTAATAGGTTGAAAGCAGCAGAGGCAATGTCACAGGCAAGAACTGCAGCTGAGCAAGGGAACCTAACTGGTGCAGCTTCCATCCTTCAGGACTGCCGGAAGGAGCTATGGGAAACCGTGTCGGGCAGGTCGAATGACCGGTTGTGTGTTGCACTAGATGCAGAGATGAAGGAGATGCAAGAGAGGATGACGAGTAGAAATGTGTACGAGGCCTCAGGTAGAGCATACATACTGTCCGGGCTAAGCTCACATTCATGGCAAAGAGCCACAGCAAGGGGAGACTCAACGGGCGGCAGTTCAAGCCTTGCTCATTCGTACCAAACACCATCGATGACTGAGATGCTGACTCGATCTCAGGCGACGTTTATGGGGAGTCCGTCGACCCAGAGGCTTATCCAACCATTGTGGTCGATTGGGTCACAACCAAAACCAAGGTGACGGGTTAGGGCCTTCATTAGCATGAGCTTCTATTGCCATGCCTAAATATGGCTTTCTGCATTTTGTTTGGGTTATCATTGGTAGGAAAATCTCTGAGGTGGATTTCCCGTTCTTTCCTTTCTGGACTTTTGGGTTTGGTTGCCTCATTTTGTGTAAATGAATAACGTGGGATAAATGGCGAAGGTATATGAGATTGGGGGTGGGAAAGAAAGAAATGGGAAGAGCAGATGTTAGGGTTTTGAAGACTTTTTCATGTTTGTTGTTGGGGGGTGTAAATAGGAAAGCAATGGGTGGGGGAAAGCCTGTAATTTGAGAATCGTGTGGTGAATCTTTTCACCTGAATTATATATAAGTTTACAACCTCTCAATTCCTTTGTTTGTCTGTTAAATGTGTCATTTTAACGTTGTTGAATGTTCAGTATGAGTCTGTGTTTTGGAGTCTCAGAACCTCGTTTGGCCCAGACAGAGGTTCAGCACTAAATATCTGCCAGAACTGCTCCACAGAACATTCAACATTGCCAAACAACTACCAAAAGCTCCAATTTAGTTCAACCTACGATTCAACCGACTTGCCAAGAAAACTTGAACTGATAAAGCTACAGATAATTTCACTAGAAGCGGCAAATCAACAATACTCGAGCCAAAATTTTGATGCCTGGATCCATCTTTTTTCACTCAACTAAAGCAAAAGGTTAAAGGTGCAAAGGATCCAGATCAAGAACAATGGCTGAAGTTCCAGTGCTTTGTGAGGCTGGCACGGGGTAGGAAAGCTTCAGACTAAACTGACTTGCCTTCATCTGGCTTTGGAATTCTTTTGTACTCGTAGTCGTCGATATTCACTTTCTGTTGGAGAGCCTGTGATAAGTATCAATCAGAAAGGAGAATAAGTAGTCTGTACTGTGAGTCCCCTCGGGTTCATTGTGCAGTTGCAAACTAAAGCTCGGAAATGGAATACCTGTAGCTCCTCCTCCAACGAAATCTTTTTGGGGTTATATGCATTGACAGGGCCCGTCCTCGACAGTGCCTTCCTAGTCTCGAGGATCTCCCATTCTTGATCGTCTTTTACTTTAGCAATATCCTTGCTGAACTACAGAAACTGCCACGTTTCAGAACAACATGATGAATTTTATGAAGACTCATGGCAATTGCTAGTGCAAAATGATTTCAGAAGCTAAAGGGACCATTAAGTTCAATATAGACAGATAAGTATTATCTTTGTTTCCACAATCGCAGTCTTCCATATTTTTGCTCTTCACCTTGAAATTTGTCAATGCTTAGTTTATTAAACATGCTAACTAATTTCTTGATTTCTTCAATGTTTTCTCCCGCTTTTAAAGTTCCAGGTGTTTGTTTCTACTTGGAAGTTAGAGCTTAAATAGAGATTGCCTAAGTAATCTCTCAACTGGTGCACACTATGCATCTAGTGCAGCCTGTGCAGGCAAGTTACTGAATGAAAATGACCCTGCTGCTGCTTCAGAACAAGCATCAAAATGCTAAAAACTAATAAAAGAGTTCTGTTTATGAAGATGTGCAACAGAGAGGCCACAAAAGAAACAAGAATAAAGCTCAACAAAACATCGGAAGTTCGTGTGCGACTAAACGAGGTGCTGCCTCTTCCTAATAGCGTTCTACTACAATCAATAACCGTAACTCATGGAAAAATTCAATTTTTCTTCTGGAAATGGCTGCCCAGTGACCACAGAACTGGTTTTGACCAAGCTATATCTCCAAACACATAAGACATCGGAAACGTTATCAGTAGGTCGAAAAAAATTGACTATCATTATTCCCAGCCAGGCACATCCCAATTTCTATGCACTACTGTCATAAGAACTATATAAGGTAATGGTGGTGGGACATTTGGCCTCCGCCAAGCTCTCATACCTCCAATAGCAACCAGGACCGGCTACAAGGTTTTTGACCTTTCGAATCCCATAACACAATAACAATCACTAACCCCAATTGTTACTAATAACCCCGACCTTGCTGGCTTGTCTGGCTTCTACTGTTCTACAGGTTCAGCACTACTAAGTCACCAAAGAATCTCATCTAAACTGTAACTTACGCTACTCTGTCTCAGTATAATTGCTCATTCTCAAGAGTCTCCCTAACTTGATGAACTAGCTAGCTATGGTTCGATGGGAAATCAGCAAAATCAATTCAATTCCTAACTCAGCTCACAAGCTCGAACTTGAAATTTGATCATAAAAGATCCAGATTAGAGAAGGTATCCAATAGTAAGTTCCATCACATATGAAGTTCAGTTCTTTTATCTAACAATCAATCGGGAAATTCAATTGAAGAGAGAGTGATCTGAAATTGGAGGGCACTAACCTGCCCTGCAAGAGATGACCAAGGCCAAGAGCACCGAACACTGTGAGGGAAATCATGGGAAGCCCATATCTCACAAACGGATGCCTCCTGCCCCATCTTTTGAACGACCCAATTGCGCTCTCATGAGCTTTTGCTGATGCATCGGCGGCGGAAGGCATACCGCTGTTGGATGTTTTACGAGGGCGATTCGCGCCTGATTCTATCGTTGTCATCTTTTGCTAATTACAACATAACAAGCCGCGCAGCACAGAGTATGAACTGATGTTATCCAACCGTCGGATGATACATATAGGAGCGGCGGCGGCCGCTGGGAAAAAGCACCCGTCTTTGAAGCTAGATTCTAAAAACAAAGGCAGAGCAGAGAGGTACCTGGACGATTGAGATGGCAGCAACGGGCAGCAGCTTTACCTTTTTACCTACTTGATCGGATTTTGATGTACACCAATAATTCCAGGGTCTTTGGCCTTGGTTTTTAAATGCGCCGGCGTTGAAGAAGAGTTATAGCGCAGGGAGACAGTGAGAGGTCTGCAAAGAGGAAGGGTAGAAGAAAGACCGGGTCCGGGGGCGGGGAGTACCTAAATGGAATTTAGTCGAGTGAGGTCACTTAAGTTTGCATCACTATCAAATCGGTCAGTAAACTTTTAATTTTATGAAATTTTACTCGAGCTTATAATTTCTCCAAAATTTATGGGGGGCTGGTAGGTATGGTAATAATTATTTCGTCACGGTATCTTGACACTCATTCTTGTTTCGTGACACATCGAGTTTAGGTCCGGTAATAATATAATTAACACTGAATTAGTACAGGTTAGCTCATATGAGTGTACAATTAACAAAATATTAAAAAATTAAGAAACAAATCTAGTTAAAATATTTGAAGAATTGAGGCTGCCATCTATTTAAAATTTTATTACAACTAAATTATAAGATAATACAAGTAAAATTCTAAATAATCTGAGTAAAATTGCGTGTAATTTAATTTAGGCAAAAACATATCGATAATGATGAGACATGTCAAGCTAAGAATAGTTTTTCGTTGACGACCCGCTCCACATACGAGACGGGTTTTACCTATCTCAAAATATATAAAATAAATCGGATTGGATCCAAAATTTTCCGCTACACTCTAAATCGTGCGATCGATGAATGTCTAAAGTCTAATAGAGTAACTGAAATGAAATGGCCGCATATGCATGTCCAATACTACGTGTAAGCCCACAAGACACGCGTGTCCTCCTTCAACCCAAGGCCGCAGGAGAGGCAGAGAAGAATTCGGTTCAAGGGCCAGCCCGGCGGCCGCTGGTACTCCTTCTAGTTAAACGACGAATTCGGTTCTTGATTACTCGTTAATCGACGAATTCAATTCTGGTTAACTCAATGAACCAAACCGAAATATCTGTCCCCTACTAATTTGTGATTTTCTCTCTCTCTTTGTGTGTACTTTTTTTTCATTTTCGGACGGAATAATTAAAACCACATCATCGTGTGCTTGTGCTCGTACCCTTTTGTGAGAATTTGCTCGTAAAATTAGAAGTCGCTAGATCATATACCGAGTGTATTATAGTTGTGGACACGATGATGATATTATTTACAAAATTGCCATCAAATCTATCTAAGTCCTTGATCCGGACGTAGATACTTCTGTTCAAACGATTAGGTCGTTCAAAAGCCAAAAAAAAGAGTGCTAAGTTGGATTGTCGGCCGAGACATTGATTAATGATTACATTGTTGTTGCAAAGGTCTAAATTGGACCAAGGAGGCAAGGACGAAGGCATCAATCTAACTGGGTCAAAAGCCCAGTAAAGTGGGCTAAATCGATAGGATATTGGGCCGGCATTGCCCAAATAACGCCTCATTTCCGCCGGTCTCTTTTCTCTCTCTCCACCACCTGTGTCTACTTCTTCCGAGTCTCCCGACTGATGCTACTGCCGTACGGCTACTGCTTCTTCTTACAGCGTATTGCTTTCCGGAGACTTCAAAGTCTCGCAGGCTGAAACTCGCCCCGGCAACGACGCCTCCGATCAACTAGGAGCAGCTGCCATGGAGGCTTCGCTAAGAGCACATCGACCTGCGGCCCTCTTGATCTTCGCATTTCTCTCACTTCTCTCCGTCTCATCATCCGCCGCGCAGGAGATCCAAATTCTCAACGCCGAGCGTCGAGTAAGCTTTCCTGATTCCATCAAACGTGTTTTGCCTTTGGGAAGTGCTGCACTAGTCTCAAATTTCTCACCGTGACTGGTGATTGGTACTGGGTAACGCCCTTAAGCGATTCATGGAAATTCACTGGGAGACTGTCGATTTCTCGAGGCTTAAATCAGTTTCTGAGCTCATGTTTGTTTACCCATTTCTTCAATTGGGTTGCTGATTTGGTCGAGACGAAACACCATTCGACTGATCCTTGTCATTTTTTTGGCTGTCCGGTAATAATTGGTGCAGATTGACTTGAGTTCACAGGTTGCGATTGTATTCTTGACCCTGAAGGTACGACCATTTTAGCATTTCCAAGCCTTTTGAGTCTTAACCATCAATTGCCCTTTTATTAATGTATCTGCGGTGAATCAGTTTCGAACGAAAACTGACTTAGCTGTTGGGATCTCTCTCTCTCTCTCTCTCTCTCTCAGGTTGAGAATACGGGAAAGGCTGCTGCTTCCGACGTTCTTCTTGCATTTCCTCCCACTGAAGCTGAGCATCTCGCTGAAGTGAAGGCACAAGCGGCCTCGGGAAAGAAAAGGAAGAAAACATATGCTCATCTCATTGTGGAGCCAACAGATGTACCTGACGCACCAAATGGCGCTAAGGGTTTTCGATTAGCTTTGCATAATCCTTTAAGCCCTGGGGAAACAACAACCATTGAAGTTCTCTATATGTTGACCCATTCTATGGAACCTTTCCCTGCCGAGATAAGTCAATCAGATCCACAGTTGGTATACTATCGTGATAGTGCATATATATTGTCACCATACCGTATTAAGCAGCAGACAACTTTCATCAAGACACCAAGCACAAATGTACAATCATTCTCTAGAGTGGAACCAACCAATAGAGCTGGTATGGAACTTAAGTATGGGCCCTATGAAGATCTACCAGCATACTCGTACTCTCCAGTACTCGTTCATTTTGAGAATAACAACCCGTTTGCCGTTGTTGAGGAGCTTGTACGTGAAGTGGAAATCTCGCATTGGGGAAACCTTCAGATAACGGAACACTATACATTAGCTCACGGTGGTGCTAAACTTAAAGGCGTGTTTTCTAGGTAACGGTTGTTCATGCATCTCATGAGTTCATATCAGGCCTTTTGCTCTGGTTTTTTTCTGCTTCTTATTACTTAATTCTGACTTCGGTAGTTTGTGAAATATTGAGACTCTAAGTTTTAGTTTTTACTGACCAAGACTGTACCACGAAGGCATGAACTATATATCATTTGGTTTCTTTAGATTTCTCAATTCAGCAGACTAAAGTTATTCAGAGGAGCAAACCGAGTTTTCATATGCAGTGTGCATATCTTCTTTTTTCATATGCATGAGGCATTTAGAGGGTGGAGCCTATGCTAATAGTTCTTTTCAATTGCTCCCTGCTACTTGACTATTTCTTGTTTCACCTATGGACGACCCTCTTTCTATCTGTCAAAAGTAGCTAATAATATATGCATGAAACTCCCAATCTTACTATGGTATTCGCATTGTCTTTCTTTCTCCATTCCTTCTATCTGACTGGAGTTTGATAGTTTGGCTTTTAGATGATCTTAGCATGCGGTTCTGAATGATTTCTTTATTGTTTGGCAGGGTTGATTATCAATCCAGGCCATCCGCTAGTGGTGTATCTTCATTCAAAAACCTTCTAGCTAGACTGCCGCCTAGGGTGCACTCTGTATACTATCGAGATGAAATCGGAAACATTTCATCTTCACGTCTTCGTACAGATTCTCGCAAGGTATCAAATCTCTAGATCCACCATCCAATATCACCACCCTATAGTTATCATTCCTGCTTTCTTGCTAGTGTTTGCCTTTATGTTCTTTAATGTAGTCTGACTTCTGATCTCCATATCTACTGTCTGAACACTGTTAACAGTCAGAACTTGAAATTGAACCTCGGTATCCATTGTTTGGAGGATGGAAATCCACATTTATAATTGGATATGGCCTCCCATTGGAAGATTTCCTCTTTGAGTCCACTGATGGAAAGAGATATCTCAACTTTACCTTTGGCTGCCCTCTTTCTGGGACTGTTGTAGACAAGTTAACTCTGAAGGTGGGTTTACCATTTCATTTTGCTTAAGAATCACAAGCTTTCTGCAGCTGCGTTTTATGTTTAGCTGATATATGGATATGTATTTCAGGTGGTGTTGCCAGAGGGATCCAAAGATCCTTCAGCCGTCATTCCTTTTCCAGTGGAGGAACATATGGAGGTAAGAAGTCGCAAACCCTTTGATTTGTCTTGGGGTCCTAAATTAAATGCAGAACTACTGCTCCCATTGAAGATGACTTTGGGTTTCAATTAGTGTACAGATGCATTAAGTACTGTCTTCATGCATACAAAAGTAGTAAATTCAGTTTTCTAGCAGTTACATTACCTTAAACATCTTGAGGTGATTAACCTGGTAAAATCCTCATGCAAAAAAGATTATTGAACTGCATTTGCAGACCTTGGAGTATGCATACTATGAACTAATGTTTTTGAAACTCGAGTGTGTGCAGACAAAGTACTCATATCTTGATGTTGTCGGAAGGCCAGTTCTTGTTTTAGAGAAGAAGAATGTAGTTCCGGAGCACAACATTCCTTTTCAGGTAATTTACTAATTTCCAATCTGCTTGCACCTGTGCCTAAGTTGGTATGGTAACCTCATACATCAGTCCACTGGAGCAAGTTGACCTGAGTTAGCAATTCAAACTTTGTTCATATGCATGATCGATTTGGATTAAGGATGAGCATTGAATGCATGATTCCTTAATTACATGACATGTAATTATTTGTGAGAAGTTAGGAACATAGAACACAAGTTCTTTATTTGTAACTTAGGTGTGGTTGCTCATTTCTGTGGCTAGAACGGTGATATTATGTAGACACATAACCTTGTAGTTCTTAAGCAATATGTTTTGATTCTCCATGTCTGACTTAATGACCTATAAATCATTAAGCTAGCTGACATTTTTATACTATTCTGTTGATCTTTAGCATTACTTTTCCCCTCTATATGTGACTTAACCTTTTTTTTTCCATCTCGTCTATTGACAGGTGTATTATACCTTTAACCCAATCTTCATGCTAGCAGAGCCGTTGATGTTGGTTTCTACAGTTTTCTTCCTCTTCGCGTCTTGTGTAGCTTACCTACATATTGATATCTCAATACGCAAGGGATAGAAATCCAGCTGTTCATCCAAGGTATTCTGCCACTCTGCAACTGACATCATTGTTGTCCTAGTTCGACAGTGATTAATGGCATTTCCATGCTCTCATGCAGCTTCATAGACGTCTGCTTGGCTTGGTTAATGGCAAAGTTGGACCAATTCAGGCATAGGACTTCTCATGCACTGACTGCAGGTTCTTTCTGAAATTTTGTAGAATGGTTTGCTGATCTTTAAAAGACCTGCGTTGAGTTTGTACTTCTAGATCCTCTATCCTTAAGGGCACCATGGAATCATGGTTGTATCGGTAGAAAGCAAGGAAATGACTCTTATAATAGAGCATAGCACAATGTTGCATACACTGTTTCCCTCGATATCTTTAGTAAACTGCCGAGTCTGATATTTCCTGTGGTTGATAGTCCTGGTGATGGCTGATTTCAGTTTTGTCCAACTCTATTGCCAAAGATGCATAAGAATCCTGCTTCGAACCATCAAATTATGTATGTTCTAGACGACGTCGGGCATTCTACCTAGAGCAGTAATGGACACAATAATTCGGCTATTCCTACAGGGTTGAAGGGTAGTAGTGAGTGTATCCTTAGGACGGTACTCAGTTGTCTGATCGAGAAATGAATGGTGTGATTCCCGTGAGACGCGAATGCATCTATTTTTCTTGCATCCTATATGCATCACAGCCATTCAATCATCGAACGCACGATAGAGAATGCATATACTCACTCGGACGCTCTTTATGCTTACGCTTGCTCTCTAACAAGGATAGCCAAATTACGGCTATAAACAACACTCATATAGTTTTTCATGATGACGGTGATGCAAAATTTCTCTCTTAACAAACGAATGGCCTAACTTGCCGTTATTTTTTCAGTTTGGATTTGGATTTGACTAATTCTGTTTAAGAAGCAGGGAAACAACCGGTTGAGGAAAGGGTCTGGGTTTTGTTGCCTTCTCAAGATAGATTCGTCGGCCTTCCATCCAGCTAAAGAACGACTTTTCACGAGCAAACGAGCTAGAAATTTTCTTGGGAACCAAACATATGGTACAAGATATAGTCGCCTCCAACTGCAACGGAAGTGCCAAATAATAGATAGTTCTTGTTTCAAGTTTAGGCAACTTTTCCTGAGAATTAAGATCCACAAATTGAAAAGGAAAAAAAAAAGAAAAAAATAGTAAACTTGAACAAACATTCTTTTCCCTCCAACTGGCACAGCCCCAAAAACACAAAATTCTGTTCTTATAAACGAATCGCGGAAGGAAAAAAAAAAAAAAAAAAAAAAGGAGAAAAAGGGAGTGAAGAGAAACAACAGGGCAAATTGGTGTCCTGCAAATAAACCAGCTACTGATCATTCAATTCCCTGATTCCCACCTTTCCTCGGGTGGGATCAGTGGATTGATTCTCATCATTCAAAACTGTTCAGAGGAAGAACGACAACAAGAACAAAGTGGAAGGCTTATTCAAGTAGTTGTGATCATCGTCTGCACAATTACATGTTGTAAACGACCAGCACAAGAAGAATATACAGCCAGCTCTTTCTCCTTCCCTGCGAATTGGCAGCAGTGCTTGATTCAGAGGGAAACTCGCAAAGTTTGCATCTTTCCTTGGTTTTCTCAAATGGGTATCCAAGAAAATGATGAAAGGATGGAGGGCTGGTTGTACACCATTAGGTCCAATAGGTTTGGTTTGCAATTCTCCAGGAAGAGGTATTATGTTCTTGAACAGAACTGTCTCAAGTGCTACAAAGCCATTCCCACTTCAGAAGTTGAGGTGCCCCACCAACTTTTTCTCTGTTCCTTTTCTCTCTTCTCATTTGTTTTTCCAATCCTTTGTCCACAGTGTTTGCTTCATATGCATGGTTTCATGTTGCTTCTACCACATTTCACATTTCCCCCCTTTCATTTTGCATTTTCGTATTAATAATGCGTCTTTGTAGCATTGTTGCAGGCTAATCCATCCTAAAGCAATATGACCTCCATAATGAAACTGCAAATAACTAGCTAAAACTTTCCTTTTTTTTGGCAGGAATTGACTAGAAGTGCAACCATTGATTCTTGCATTCGGGTCACAGACAACGGAAGAGAGAACATCAACAGAAAAGTGACGTCTCATATCTTGTTTTTGTTTATCAGGTTGATTGAACTCTTCATTGCGCCTCGAACAGAAGTGTCTAATTGTTACTCAACTTGCAGGTCTTCTACATTTTCACACTTTACAGTACCTTAAACCATAATGACCAGCTTAAGGTAATTGTAAATTTTGTAAATAGCCTCTAGCAACCTACTCTGCATTTGTCTCGAACTGCATAACTAACTTTGAGGCAATATGGTTTTAAACAGCTGGGAGCTAGTAGTTCAGAAGAAGCTGCAAGATGGATTTCTTCCCTAAAGAATGCTGTCTTAAAGGAATGTCCACATCCAACACAGGAATTTGTGGCCATCTCCAAGAGCAAGTGGCCTCCCTTGAGGTATATATCTCAAATTGCTTTGCTTCCAGGACTTATTGACTAAAAATGTCTTATGTCTTTCTGCAACTTTTCTCCATGGCAGACTAAGTTTTTTGAGAAGAACAGATTCGAAAAGGTCGATAGACTATTACTCAACAATGCGTACTGAGGCAATGGCATCAGATGTCATTGCACCCTCACCTTGGAAAATATTTGGCTGTCAAAATGGTAAAGAGCTCTGGTCGTTTGTGTGAAATACAAGCTTCTGCCGGGACAGGAGATTATGCATTTCTGGTTGAAATCTGCTTCTTTCTAATACCAAAGTTGAACATTTATTTTACAGGTTTGCGCCTTTTCAGAGAAGCCAAAGATACATGTTCGCAAGACGGGGTACTGTGCCTTCTTCTTTAGTTTCTTCATTTGAGATTTACTGTGTACTTTTGGAATTGAATATGATGCTTCTTATATCTAGAGGTGGGATGACAATCCAGCAATCATGGGAGTTGGTGTGGTTGATGCAACATCAGAAGCCATTTTCCGGTCTGTGATGTCTCTCGGTCCATCAAGATCAGAGTAAGATCTGATATCACATAAACAGCAAGCTTGTTTGTAATCAGAGTAGTTGAACAGCTGGACTTACCTGAGGAAGGTCTCGGGTTTTAATCCAGTAGTCTCAAAGAGAGGCACTGAATCAATGTTTCTTTCTTGTAGATGGGACTTTTGTTTCTATAGAGGCAGTGTAGTCGAACATCTGGACGGTCATACAGATATAATCCATAAACAGCTCTACAGCGAGTGGCTCCCATGGTTGTTAAACTCACAACTCCATAACATACCTTGTACACAATGCAGCTCTGTATATATTGTGAATGTGTTTCTGATCTTTCGCTGTTTGTTTGGTTTCTTCTTCACAGGGGGATGCGACGAAGGGACTTGTTGTTGCGAAGATATTGGAGAAGAGAGGACGATGGAACATATGGTACCTTGCTGTCCAAGTAAACAGTATAATGCAGAAATGGCATAATGTTGCCATAAAATATCATATCATCTCTAACGAGCTCTCGACTTTTGGTTCATTGCAGTAATTCTATACCATTCCGTGATTCACAAGAAATGTCCACCGCAGAAGGGCTATGTTCGAGCTTGCCTTAAAAGTATGAGTCAACAGTTCTAAAGAGTATACATTTCTTGATCTGTAATTTAATACTTTTAACATCTTGATGTGGTTTTCGAATATGCAGGTGGTGGATATGTGATCACTCCCATAGATGAAGGCAACCGCACACTTGTAAAGCACATGCTTGCCGCGGACTGGAGGTTCTGGAAACTCTATCTACGTCCAGCTTCTACCAAATCGATAACCATCCGTATGGTTGAAAGAGTTGCAGCACTGAGAGAGATGTATAGGGCCAAAGCAGGCAAATGTTCCTTCTCCAGAGAGCTGCAGCGCCCTCCTCGCAACGTCCCCCTTTTTGAACCCCATGAAGCTACTCTAGATGAAGGCAACGCTTTGGAAAACACACAGCTGGATCATGGTGCTTCAACCGATGTGGAACCTGGGAAGAAGAAGGGATCCATGTACACTAGCTTGGTGGCTCTCGACGATTGCTCTGATGAGTTCTTTGATGTTCCTGACCAGGAACTCATTGAATTTGATCACTCAGAGGTTGAGTGGTCTTCCTCAGAGACTCCAACAAATTGTGCCCCGGTATTTACCCACAATAGAAAGGAATGTTTGTTTTGCATATGGAATTTATATGATAAACCACAGTTTGAGCCCTTCCATTGCCGTATTCTGCAGGATATAGATCCCACGCCTGCGTTCTCGTCTGCTGCTGGTCTTGTGAAGAAATTGCATGACTTTGCTGGTTAGTCTATCTTTGTTACCCCTCTTCTGTACATTTAACTAACATGTTGTAGTTAGTTAGTAGGGATGATAACCTGATGTGTTATGCCTATTGAATTCTTTTTAACAAAAGTATTTGTGGTGAAAATCTAATGCAGCTCATAAGAAGGGTTATGTGGATTTACAAGAAGCATCTGAAGATAAAAGTAACTTCTGTTCATATGGATCAACTCTGCAAAAGGATGCAAATGGTTCTTGCCCATGCAGTTGGTCATCTGCTGATCCTTCAACATTCTTGATCCGTGGCCAAAACTATTTAAAAGACAACCAGAAGGTTTTACTAATCCACTATTCACATAGAAAAACATTGAGATTCTTAATTGTACTTAATCAGTGAACTGGTTTATTTTGTTGGTTGCTTGTAGGTCAAGGCAAAAGGAACACTGATGCAGCTGGTAGGTGCAGACTGGCTCAAGTCAGACCGGTGGGAGCAAGATCTTGGAAGCCGGCCTGATGGCATTGTTCAGGTATATATACATGATCCTATCCTCACTTTATATGTTTTCATTAGAAAGAAGCTTCAATTATAAGCATGGAAATTACTAATTCATGTTGTGGCTTGCTTGTATATGCAGAAGTATGCAGTACAAGATCGGCCAGAATTCTTCTTCATTGTCAACATTCAGGTAATTAGAGTACTCCAAATGATTAAATGCACAAATTGCTAGATTGATCCTTGATCATACATTAATCGGAATGTCTACTCGATCCTTGTTACATGTATTCATGAACGATCAGGTTCCTGGTGTACCAGTTTACACCCTAGCCTTATACTACATGCTGAAAACACCTTTGGAAGAACACCCATTGTTGAACAGCTTTGTCAATGGAGATGATGCTTATAGAAACTCCAGATTCAAGCTCATTCCATTCATCCCAAAGGTTGGTTGGCAAGTCAAATTACGATTTCTTTTCTTTTCGTTCAGACACACACACACACAAACATGCATGGTTGTGATGAATTTGTTTTGTTTGTGGCAGGGATCTTGGATTGTGAAGCAGAGTGTTGGGAAGAAATCATGCTTGGTTGGCCAAGCACTTGAAATCCACTACCACCGCGGCAAGAACTACTTGGAGGTAATAAAGCCATTACTGATACCAATTGCGACGAGATTTTAACACAGACGGGCTGAAAACGTATTCGAATTAATGTATCATTGTACTGGCATGCAGCTTGCAATTGATGTGGGATCATCAACTGTTGCTAGAGGTGTGGTCAGCCTTGTTAATGGTTACATGACCAATCTGGTCGTGGAAATGGCATTCCTAATTCAGGTA